ACTCTTTCCTTTTGACACAGAAAACAAGCATTCCAGTATTGCTGTTTTGCTTGCTACGCAAGGTATTGCCAGCAACTAAGGACAACAGACAAATTTGAATTTTTCAGCACTAAGAGCTAAATTGCACTGAAGGGGCAAAAATGCTGAAGAAAGAAAGGGAAAATACAAAAAAATGCATTACAAGAAACTGGTATTTACTATGAACAGAACTATCTAACATTATGCAACAACTTCAAATAAGCCGATTTATACCAAAGTCATTATTTCATCTCTGCAGCATAAAATCTTGAAAGAAGAAGCTGATCCATAAGATTTTTAACATCTTCATCACATCTGTAAATAGAATGAAAGAACCCATTCTTAAGCTGAGTGGCACCTTGCTTTCAATGTGAAATGTGCACCTTCTTGGCAATTTATCTGAGAAGTCTGCAAAGTCACTGAGGATAGAAGAAACTACCTTTGAAATCATCACCACAGGTGTAATTGTATCTGGGTGGTCCTGCTAGGCCATGCCAGAGCTTGCAATAGTGCCAAGGTGTGCTCAGCAGGGTCTCTGTACATTTTCAGAGCACAGAATGCTAAATTCTGTGAGGTTGTTATTTTAATTGTTTAACAACAGAGGAAAACAACACAATGCTTACAGTATTTGTTTTCCTAAGTTTCTGAAGCCTACCCATCAAAACTGATTTCTGGCAAAGTCAAAGTATCACACTGGCCCAAATACAATGGCTATTTCCAGCAATCAGAATTTGAAAGAAATACACTTGTCTTACATTTGTTTTCAGACTATGTTTTTGACTAGGCTTTCTAGCTCTTTTAAAAAACAACCAAGAACACCTAAGGGGCTGGTAAAAAGCGCAGCAATCCAAGTCTTTGACGATCATGTGAGCTGGAGCACGGAGCAGGTTCCACAGCAGAAATTCCACGACGCACTGCAGGAGGAAAACAGAGAGGTCCGTGGCATCCTGCATTCTTCCCTTCATACAGCCACAAGACTCCTTTGTATTTGAGACAATTTGGAATTTATTTAAAAGCTAACTGGTACTTAATACACCACAGCTCACAGGGGAAGGCTGGAAAGGGAAGAAGCCGAAAAGGAAAATGTGTTTGAATGTGAGGTTAGCAAGCTCCAGCTCTGACGAGCAGTGGAGACAAATCTCACCATCGACATTCTATTCTCCTACAAAGGTAATTGCTAGGAAGTGACTGTCCTCAATTAAATATGTTTTGGGGTCCTTATTTAAAATAGGTGAGAATACTGGCCACAGAAGCTAACATTTATCAAAATGTTCAAAAGCACTTCATCAGCACAGTAACACAAGGGCTTAATTGAGGTCACAACTGCTAATGGTTTAGGTTGTCATTCACTCACAGATATATGTCTGGCTTGCTTCCTCCTTCATGCCAGAACTAGCAAATCACCCCTCAGAAAAGTTTGATTTATTTTCTTCCCCCTTTCTTTATGGGTCTGATATCCAGCTGGAGCAGCAAGCTGATCTGGAGGGCCACAGTGCTTCCCAATCTCTCAGCTGGCACACGAGAAGCACTGCCTGTAGGCAGCCAGCCTATTCCCTGAGCCTAAGCACCTTTTCTGCTAGTGGCTGAGCACTTGTAGCTCTTCATACCAAATACCCAAGCACTGGCAAAGTTGATTAAAACCAAAATTTATTTTAATGGCTTCTTTCAGGACAATTCCTTACTGCCACAATGAGTAGTAAAATCCATCAAAATCTCTTTTCTGGGTAAGTGAACAGATTCTGTACCTATGTACTTCAGAGCAAGAAAGGGACTATCTATCTTTGGCAAGATACAAAAACCAAACAGATTAAATAAAATTATTTCTGTATAAGGCTTTTGTTCCAAGCTACAGTTAGAGCCACAACAAACTCACACGGCAGGATTTCAAACAGGCCCTCTGCTCTCCTCTCTTGCAGGCAGCCAAGCTATTTGCAAACACTTTCACACATTCTCCTGCCTGAGAAAAATGTAGGCCAGAGCTTACCACCAGGAGAATGTGTGAAAAAGCTTTTAACAAGCCCAACTGCTGGCCTGTTTTCCTAAGACAAAGAGTACAAGTGCTTTTAAATACTCCCCTGCCTTCCTTCCACCCCGTGAACTCTCCTTTTTCACAAAGGGAACTTTCTCCTTTCTGGGTTGCAAACATCACATGGGCCATCTCCCCTGCCACAGCCTGTAGCTGCTCCAGTACCACTAACCTCTCTAAAGCTCTGGCCAAACCATAGTACCAGATGAAACCCATCCCCCAACAAAAAAAAACAACAAACAACTCCAAAAAAACCTTACCCCCAGCTGTGCCTGCTTTTAGATTCTCAATATTGAATATATTTTAAAATATCAAGATTACCCATAATTTTTTTTCCATAAGAAAAAAAGTTGGAAATGGAAAGGAGTTATATTTGGTTTCATACAAGCAGTCAATGCAAATTAATTCCAATGAGGTGAATAAACAGTACTCGGCTACAGATAAAGCAGAAATTCCTCAGAAATAGGGGATTTAAAATTAGCATGAATGTATGTAAGGTAAAAATGAAGAAACAAGTTTCATTACAAACCATAAAGAATATTTTAATCCATTATTAAAATTAATGACTTTCACTATATTACTCAAAGGTTTCAAACAAGAATATCACTCAACATGGAAAATAAAATGAGAATTTATTTTAAATTTCAAGGTTGCCTACCTGGGACTAAGATGCTGAAGGAACTGAACCCTGTTTCTCATTTGATCCCAATTTTGTTTCACATTCTTTGCAAGTATGATGACAATGCCTACAAAATTGAAGATAAAGTATTCAATAATTTTGCTGCATTTCTTCTAATACAACCACATTGCATGCTGGCAAATATTCTCGAAGAAGCAATCTCTTGCATATGTTCTCCAATTGCAGTGACTACTTTATGGGACATAAACTGCACAAGATGAGATCTAAATGTCTCAACCCATAAAACCCCATTTTTTCTTATTCTGAACTAACATTTCCAGCAATCACCAAAAATATAATAGGATTTTCTAAGCAGGAAATAACAGCCCTTGCCATTGTATCTATCAATAATGAGCAGAGTTAGAAGCAAAGCACATAATACAAAAGAGTGACAAACAGCCACTTCATGTACCAGCACAGAGTAATAGCCTTATTATATGGGGAAGAATGGAAGTGGAGAGACACAGGAACAATGAAGAAGCTTCCCATTATCAGTCAGGCATTCTCACAGGCATAAAGGCTCACAATGGTCTGGGGGAAAGACATGGAAAGATAGAGAATAATTTTTCAGGTAGGATTTTTGGAAATGCATTTTATGTGTGAAAGGTGCATTTGAGAAGCCATACTGGGAATGAAAAGTAGTACTGGCAGTCGAGTGAGGAGCTTGAGGAAGTCAGAGTGTGATTTGATGGGAAAGTCTACTCTGCATGAAGTTCAGAAAACAATTACTAAAACATGGAAGTGACAGGTGACAGGAGGCAGACATTGAGATCCATCATACGGTTAGAGTTGCAAGGTAGAAAAAACAGTCTTGTAGTTTGTGCTCTTCATAGTCTGGCATGACAATACGAGGTTGGGCAAAATCACAGAGGAGAAGGTTGGAATGTAGGTTGAGATTGAAATTGCTGAAATATGAGGACAGTGTAAAAAAAATCTGCAGTGTATTTGGCCAGATGTATGGTCCAAAGGTGGACTCCAAGGATTGAGTGATACCACAGAAGATCACGAGACAATCAGAGGCACAATACTACATGAAAAGAGAAGCAGTAATTGTGGTTCCATCACACTTGAAGTATGATAATTTCACTTAATAATGAACTTCCTAATAACTGGTATTACACTGAGTTTAATTTGCATTTTCTAAATAATATTTAGTAGTTTCTAACACTGTCATACATAGCCTAAGAATATAAGAGTGGTATCTCATGACCTGATCACAAAATCTAAATTCACAGTTTTGCTGAATATTATTTTTACTATTGTAAAGACTATAATGACTCAGGATTAATCATTCAAATAAGCCCAAACCTTTTTTTTGGTGGACCAAATGGTGCAATACCCATTTTCTCAAACTTTTTCTGGCATTCTCCAATGTATGACATCGTTCCAATGGCAAAACCTAAGACACCAGCAACTATAAAAACAGGTAACAAAACACTGTTAATACAACAGCTTAAATCATGAGTCTGCAATTGGTCCCATTCTAAACATACAATTAATTAGATGTAGCATGTCTTCTTAAAACGTACCACAAACACATGAAGTTGTACAGGGATTACAAGGAAGATTTCAGTAACTACTGAAAATTGGCTACCTATCGTGAGATACAGCAACTGGTCCAAAATACAGATAGGAAAGGGTATCATATTCACCTGGAATTACAAGATTTCAGACTCAGAGGAACAGGCTATAGGGAAACCCCACAACAAAATTACATCACTATGTCAGTACTAATTTATTTTTCCCTTGTAGGCACATCATGGTATTTCTGATGTTAACAATGTTAACACTTATCTTCTCAGGGTTTCTAAGAAACTAGAATGTCAGCCTGTCATACTGCTGCACTGGGGTTTCACTCATCACAGCATCCAAATCAAAACATTACTTCAACACCCTCAATTTTCTGTTGAACTTCTGCCAAAGAGGGAATCAACTTAATTTCCTGCCATTTAAGACCCACCTTATTGTACAGTTTACTTGCTTGTATTTGTATTCTTTATCAACATGGTCATTAATTACACGGTTAAGATAAATAAAATTAATGTATGAAAAGGAACATACTGATTTTATATATATATATTTACATATATATATATACACATATATGTATATGCACACAGAGACATTATGATGGCCCATTGATACCACAAGCTGTGTGATCTGCTAAGTATGGCTGATCAGCAAACTGACATTATTTATAAAACAAAGGTGAGATCGGAGATTTTACTAGTTTGAGAGGATGTATTAGGTAAATATATGCTGCTACTGAAAATATTTACATTAAAATAACCTTATTTCAGACATTTATTTTTAATCACAGCAGAATTCTGATTTCCTGAAGTACTGTGGTAACATCTCATTAATTCCAAAAAAAGCAGAGTTTGAAAAGAGGTTCAGAGAGATACATCTAAGGGCAGTAGGTTGCCCACAAATAATATTTATTTTCCTTTTAGAGTTGTGTACAACTTACTTGCCATCTTAGGTAATGCACCAAATCTTGGGCTTGCTGAGAAAACACCTACAAAAAAAGGAAATAGTCAGAAAACTTATTTATTTGAGGAACTCACCAGGACTCAAAACCAAAGTCAGTACTTTTCCTACAAGTTTTGCATTTCTGAAGGTTAAGTCTGTACAAAAACAACTGGAAGTCTACTAATTCAGATTTAGGAACATCACAGCACTTTCCATTCCACTTGTTCTCAGTGCCTGTGTTTTGGTGCAGTCCTTGCATCATAGGAGAAAAAAAGTCTGGACTTTGCAGGATTCATTTCAGGCAGAGGTTCAAAGTGTAAATCACCATGGCTGTCACTGGTGACACCTGCAGCAGCAGGAGATGGTGGCTTGTGTTTCAGCACAAGCCAACCTTACAATTACAAAAGCAAACTGTTACCTCTTGCTTAGGGTCCAGCTCCTTGTGCTGCGATAAACAGGCCTAAACTGTTATTCAGTAGTTTCCTGTGGCTGTTGATTAAACTTGTATTAAACTGTACCACAGACACCCAGCTTTCTCCTCCAGAATGTCCTTCATGAGGAACATGGAGTAGAAAAATGATTAGGAAAACCAGAATATTAGCTTTCCTACCACCTCTCCCCAGTTAACACCAGGAGGAACCATTATTCCCCTGCAAGCCTGTGTGTCTGCAAGAGGAGTGCCACGCTGTGAAGGATGGCTCCTCACAGCAAGACTGCCAAGACTGTTTTGCACTGTTACATGCATTCAGACAGTATTAATGAGGCTCAGAAGCTCCAGCTTCTTCTAGAGCCAGTGTACTGTGTGAGAGGAGTGTTTAGATAGAGGGGCATTCAGTCTGTCCAAGTGCAAGGGTCTTCACCCACTGGCGTCTATGTAATTTTAAATCGGGTCTTTTAGGCAAGGGATGGACAAAATTGTTGTTTTATTCTAACCAGCAACCCCTCCCAATTGTTGACACACAGTAATGATTATTTAATATGGACATTTCACAGCTGGTAAGACGTGTCCAAGTACAATGGAGGGAAACTGAGAAGAGTAGCCAGTGCCAGAGGGTGGAATGTCAGCTACTGAGACTTCAGTGCCCTTCCTATCCCTGCTCACCCCTTTTCAAATCTGTAAACCTTTGCCTTCCCTCACACGCTCTCCTTTGCTCCTTCCCTTCCTCTTTTCCTACATAGGTTAAGATTTGCCTGGTCATAGGGCAAGGATCAACCAGGAACACACATCAGCCTTCTGTAGTATAGCACGGCTTTTAAGTTTTCTACTCTAGTCTTCCTGAACATCTCAACAACAACAAAAAGAATAAATATATAAATAATGGTATAAGAAAGAAACATGGTAATAGTGGTTGGAACAAAATGAAGGGCTTGCAACCACACACTGTGAGAAAAGGCTGAGCCATTTCCACCTCCTCCATTTGCTGTCTCCTACCACCCATCTCTTACAGCCCCTTCGCTCTTTACCCAAAATGCTAACGTCAACCTTATTATTCATCAAGACCCCCAGAAGAGAAACTCAATGTACAACATGTAGAAACAGACTCATCCACCGCATAAATAGAATACAATTCTCTTTTGTGGCTGCAGATTGCAAGCCATCTGTGTAGAAAGCTGTCTCCTCATTTTGGCAGTATTCCTTGTCCCTCTGCACCAAAACTGTATTTATATTGATAAGTGGTCACTGTAAACACATTGTCAGCAGTTTTCAAATAAACCATTAGAGCTACAATACCCAAATCTGATGCCCCTGCAGAGGCTGTATGATGTTGTCCTGCTCTGCCCTAGAAGCAGCTCCAGTGAAGTCTCTACTCGTATATGATCACGGTGACAGAATCTAGCCACCAGTCTTAAAATTTGAGTTCTGTTTTCAGTCCATGCTCTTCAAGAGAGTGACTGTGGAAATGCACACATTGTGATTGAATCACTGTAACAATTATAGTGATGAGTCAGAGGAATATTGATCATGAAAAACAGCAGTATTTAGGGAAACCTGCATTTCAGCGGTAACTCTGGAGTTTCAATGTCATAACTTAGGATCATGTATTTTTTATATTTACCTTTTGAGACCAGCCCCTGAGTGACAAGCATGCTCCCAAGGGACAGAGGAAGAGCTGTAAAAACAAAATGGAGGAATGTATTTGGTATCAGCCAAAGTTTGTTACCTATTTATTTAATATACTCCTTTTTTACAAGTTAAATGTTTTAAGTGTTTATAATGTTAAACACGACTCCTCTTCTAAACATTAACTTTGTGTACTCTCTTAATGACCTATTACATCTGCTCATTCAGATTACTATCTCTTCAAAGCAAGGATGTGTTCACACAGTGCCAAACATCATCCATGCTTTAGCATCTGGAGTTAATGCATAACATATATTTATTAAGTAATAGCTTTCATAATCTGCATATCTCCACTCAGTACTGCAACACTAGTAGTTACATCAGCTTTGATTAAACGCTGAAACCCTTTTCAGCCTTCTTTCAGAAAATGTATCATTTAGATACAAATTGACATGGTAGATGTAAAAGGCAATAAAACTTTGGATGAATTAATCTTTTAGATGTCCTAACACTTAAAAGAGTTTTGCAAACCCAAGACATACAGCCTTGCCTGCTTTTCAAGGCAAGACAAGTATGTAGCAAAGTAAAACATTCTTAAGGTTATTTTACTAACGGACTTCAAGAATAGAACCAACTCTATGAGTATTAAAGTAAGTTCATATTAAAGAAGAGCTTAATTCAACCACCTTTACCTGCAATGACTACACTAATAATTCAATTAACCCTGTAATAACAAATTGCTTAACTTAATATAAGTTGATAGAGTTAACTCACCATAATTTCCAACAAAACCCAATGTATTACAATAAACAGCATGGCATTTTGCAGCCAGTTTTGCAGAAGGACATCAGGAAGTCATTCTTACTGTGATAAGAACAAGCTTGGATCACGCACCTCTGTACCAGAAACTCTCCCTTTTGCACTCTTTGCTGATCCTTGCAATTTCTTCAGCATTGTGATGTTGTGAGATGGGACAATTGAACATTGGCTGAAAGGATAAACCTGGTTTAACTTACTGAATTTAATCTCACAGGAAGAAAAAAAAAAATCAATTAAATACAAAACATTTTAAAGACCAAATAAAATGCAATGCAAAAAACAACCAACAAGCAAAACATCCTGTTCTGTTGTTAGCAGTGTGATAAAACAGTTGATATGCCAATACAGAAACAGAAAGAACTACATAGGTGTTAGGTTAAACCCACTCATCCTGTTGGTCTGTACTTTCCTAAAATAGCTCAGCTGCTGCTTACCCCAGAAATATATTGCTTTACTTCTATTACCCATTTCATTCTCATGAGCTGCATCAGCTTTCTAGGAAAGAAATTACAGGAAACTGAGGCAGAGTGGTAGTTTCTAAAAATGTTCTGCCTCATACAGAAGTCAATTTAAGTTCAGTAAGAGAAGATTTTTAAGTATTCAGAAGAGGATCAATACAAACTGTCAGATTCCTAAAACAAGCCTAACTTTCTCTATGAGCAGTTTAAATATATTCATGTCATTAACTGAACTCAACTGTACTATCTTCATCTTCCTAATAATTAGCTTGCCACAGGCTTCTTTGAAGCTAATGATAGTTGTTGGGGTTTGTTTTTTTTTTTCTTTTTTTGATTGTGGAAAAAAGTGCCAGTGCTCTCTCTTGCATTCTACTAACCAGGGTATTGACATGTGGATACAACTATTCTTTTTCTTCCTTTAAGAGATGACTCAACTATCAGTGTGAGCACTTGTAGTATCATTATTGGACATCTGAAATATATAGGTGTACTGGTTTTGGCTGGGAAACAGTTTATTTTCTTCACAGTAGCTGATAAGCTACTATGTCAGATCTGTGACCAAAGCAGTGTTGCTAACACAGGGATGTTTTAGTCATTGCTGAACAGTGCTTACACAGCATCAAGGCATTTTCTAGTTCTCAAGTTGCCCCACCAACGAGTAGGCTGGGGGTGGATGACAAATTGGGAGGGGACACAGCTGGGACAGCTGACCTCATCTGACCCAAAGGATATCCCATATCATATGGTGTGCTCAGCAATAAAAGCTGGGGGAAAGGAGGAATCATCATTAAGTTAAGATTAGTGGCACCACCTCTACAAGCATACCTATTCTTGAAAGCAAAGCCAGACCTTGGAGGACAAGCAGTGCCTTGGGAAAAAGAGTATATTCATCTATTACAGGATATACCTCATTTTATGCCTGACTGATCAATGATTTTGTAACCATGATAATGTAATGCATTTATTGGCAGCAGCCACACCTCCCACATTTTAGCTAATTAATATCTCGGTCCTTCTTCAAGCACTGATCCCACTACAGTTAATGTTACTTGGGTAAACAGTAGAAAACTGTAAAGTACACCTCTCCCTTGGAGTGTGCATTTAATAAGACCATAGCACCTTTGAATCCCTTTTCCAATATACACCTAGACAACCTCTCCTGAACCTTGATCCCTTAGCTTATGTTGACCCTTAATAAACCGATTAATTCGTAAACTAAACATTGGTCTCAGTAACAATTTGTGAGTGTGGTGAGAGGGTCCTCTAATCTACCCTCTAAGATACGGCCCTGCAGTGGGTTCGGGCTCATTCACAAACCTCTCCACGTGGGGGGGGAAGTCGCGGAAACATCCTGACAGCCGGTAGCCCCCCGGTACCAGCCCGCGACAGCTCCCTTCTCCCCTTCTGAATATATATATACACATGCACACATGCACAACTTGACAGAGAGAAGTTATACCAGACTAGCACTCAGACACTAGGTCTCTGCCAGTTCCTAACTAGTTTAACTACTATAGCATAAATCAGAGCCCACTACTTTAAGAATCTATAGCTCCTCGCCTTCTGAGTGCAGAGAATCAGGAAGAACCCCACATAGCCCTTTCTTCATTTATATGCTTAAGCTAACAGACAACTGTTTCTCTCTTCAACAAGAGCAACCAATGCAAACCCCCAGTTATTCACTAGCAACAGCATAAAAATAAAAGGGAGGAAACCCAGCTTACCCATCCAGTTTGCTTTGGTGGAGATGGCTGACTTTCCTGTTGGGTTGTTTCAGAAGACATTGTCTCTCCTTGTACTCTACTGGCAATCTTGGTAGGCTGAAATTATGTGTTTTATGTTTGGTCCTCTCTTCCTGCTAGGTACAAAGTTGAAAAGCCAAAGTATCATACTGATACTGTAAATTTACTGTTCACTTAGTGTATTTGATTTGTGTGGCGGGGCTTTGATAGGCTACTGAGGTGGCTCCAGAGAGGCTGATGGAAGTTTCTCTGGCTCCAAGTTGGACTCACCTCTGGCCAAGGCTGAGCCCACCAGTGATGATGGGTGCACCTCTGAGATAATAGCTACAATGGGAAAAAGAAACTACTGGCAGATTGGAAGTGGAGAGAGGAGAAAGAATATGTGAGATAAACAACTCTGCAGACAGCAAGGCCAGCGAAGAAGAAGGTGCTCCAGGTGTACGAGCACAGATTCCTTGTGGTGAAGACCACAGTGAAGCAGGCTATATCCTTGCAGCCCATAGGGGTTAATGGTGGAGCAGATATCTACCTGCAGCCCATGGACAACCCCTAGCCAGAGCAAGATGATTGCACCTGAAGAAGGCCTTGACTCTGTAGAAAGCCCACACTGGAACAGTATGTTTCTGAAGGACTGCACCCCATGGAAAGGGCCTATGCTAGAGCAATCTGTGCAGAACTGCAGCCTGTGGGAAGGACTCATATTAGAGAAGTTTCTGGAGGACTCTCTTGTATGGGAGGGACACTACACTGGAGCTGGGGGAAAGTGTAAGGAGTCCTCCATCTGAGGGGGAAGGAGCAACAGAGACAACATGTGATGAACTGAGAGCAACTCCCCATCCCTGTCCCCCTTTGTTATTGGGGGAAGAAGGTAGAGAAATCTGGAGTGAAGAAACTTGAGCCCAGAAAAAAGGAAAGGGAGGGAAAGGTGTTTTTTAAGATCTGGCTTTAGTCTGACTAGTCTACTCTGAGCTGATTGGTAACAAATTAAACCAGTTCTCTTCCCCAGGTTGAGACTGTTTTGCCCATGAACGTAATTGGCAAGTGATCCCTCCCTGTCCCTGTTTCATTATATTTTCTCCTCCCCACCACACTGGGGGGATGGTGTCCCCTCCAGTTTTGATTCCATGGGACCCACAATGCAAGCCTATCACAACCATACCTGCCTTTCCAACAAACATAATTCTGTTACCAACATGCCTAAAAAAATTATTTCAAAACTGTAAGAATAAAAAGATTCCAAAGAGTTCTAGAGTTTCAGTCTTCCATGCCCGAGAATTGTGCTGTTAGAGAAGAGCAAGAAGGAATCCCATTAACTTCTGGAGTAATACAAGCATCTAAACTGTGCTTTTTACCTAGCACTTTGCTGCTTGGTCTAGTACTTTATAGATATAATACATATTAGATAGGCATACAGGGCACTGTTGCTTTTCAAAAAGTACCTCTGAGAATTGTGGCACTGCTAAGTAAGGCTAAGATGACTGCAAAGGACAGAGTTAAACAGTAAGTATACAACAATTTAATAACCTGAATGGTTTTGGGGAATCAGCATTTTACTGTATACACCACTTCCTGCCTTACATTGGGGTCAGTTACACAGCTGTAAGTTCAAGCCATGCCTGCTTCACACTCACTGGCTGTTCAGACAGCAACACTTTCTTAAGTAATGGACCAGAAGCAACACAACCTCCTCTCTCCCTGGTAAAAAGACTCAATTAAGCACTGTATTCACATCAAGCTAAACTTCATTCTCAGTCACTCTCAGAAATGACAATGATCACTGTGTCTTTGAAAAAATGAAGTTTGAAAATCCACATAATGCTGGGATAGCTCAAAGCTCTTCACTTTCTGCCTCACCGTAAGAGCAATTTAATTTTCCATTGGTGTCTCATCACTTACGCAAAATAAGGAGAATAAAGATGACAAAAATGCATAAAACTTTAGAGAGTTTTATGTGAATCAAAGTCACAAACTTCTCTTATTTTTTTCTGCATATTTTTACCTGCCTACAAATCCTACCTGTAAACACAGCTGCATTAAAAGCTTCTCTGGAAAGTACTACTGATATGGTTTCTGGCTGCTGCAACAGATTTTAACTGCTTATCTTCTTCTTGAGGATAGAAAAGCTGAGTCACTGGAGAAAATAAATGAAAAAAAAAAAAGTTAAGGAGTATATAGTAGGTTATAAAAATTTGCAGATTGCCATTAATCATTAATGTGCTGTATATATTTTGCTGGAATGTTAAGTTTTTCAGCTACACTTCTAATTCAACATAACAAAGAATTCCAAAAACATGTAGCACTTTAAGCTGCTTCCTGGTACCTCTCCCGCTTGGGATGAAAGCTGAAATCTATACTGGCAAGAACAAAGCAAGGGGTAATAAAAATTTTAGGTAATCAAAATATTATTTAATTATTCATAATAGTACTTAGCACACATAGTCTCCTATCTGAGGAAGTGTTCATGGCCCACGAACGGGCCAGGAAGATGACGAGAGAGCTGAAGCACCTCACCTACAAGGACAGACTGAGAGAGTCAGAGCTGTTCCACCTGCAGAAGACACTGGGGAGACTTCACAGTGGCCTTCCAGTATCTGAAGGGGCCTACAGGAAAGCTGGGGAGGGACTTTTTACAAGGGCTTGTAGTGATAGGACAAGGGGTAATGGCATTAAACTGGAAGAGGGGAGATTTAGGTTAGACGTTAGGAAGAAATTCTTTAGTGTGAGGGTGGTGAGACACTGGAACAGTGTCCAGAGAGGTTGCAGATGCCTCCTCGCTAGAAGTGTTCAAGGCCAGTCTGGAAGGGACTTTGAGCAGCCTGGTGTAGTAGGAGGTGTCCCAGTGGTGTCATTCTTCTGTTTAACTAAAAATACCTGTGTTCCACTTGATGAAACCAATATGGTTTGCAAGGATCACACATTCGAAAAGCTTCGTCCTATTCTACAAAAACTGTTCTGAATCATTTACTCATTTACAGAAGAGAAGGCTAATGTAAGACTCCTGAAAGATCAAAACTTATGGTTTTGATACTTCCAACTGGTTGGTAAAGAAGCAGTATGCATGAAGACAGTTATGATTTTCAGATGTAACAATTTCCAACTTCATATACTCTTTCCAGTGCAAAGCCTCTTTCCAATAGGAATGGTGACCGTGTAATTTCTAAGATTATTTGGGGGTGAAGGTGGGAGCCCAAACTGCATGTGTTAACTAGTATATGCAGCTGACCGTGACCTATAGTGAAGATACTGCACATTTGCCTAGGGCACGTGCTACTGAAATACAACGATCACAAATAGTCATTAGGAGTTCAGAGAGATCCTTCGAGGACCAAGTATTCATTCCGAGGAAGAGGGGAAGACTCACTAATTCTGTTTCACGTGTATCCTCTGAACTGGCACTTTATTTTAAATCCAGCCTTTTCTTTCGAAGGAGAGTCAACAGAGCAGCTGCACTAGTGAAAAGCTCCCTACGAACAACTGGGCGGACCCCGCACAGCAGGAGGATGCCTCACGCTTGCCCAGCCATGCCTGCACGCCTGCCCAGCCGCCTGCCGAGGGTGACTCACGCAGGGCACAGCGCTGCCAGCGAGAACAGGCTGCTGTTTTGCGCTTGCTGTCACAGCGAAGGACATCGCTGGGGATGTGCGACAGCGTCCCCGCCGTCCCGGCCGCGGGGCGCTGGGCGAAGGCCGGTGGGGAAGGGGAGAGGACAAAGGTGTTGGGCGCCGAGGGGCGATTCCCCCGCGAGCTGCCGCCCAGCGCCGCGCCAGCCCCGCCTTCCTCCCGCCGTGACGCCAAGGAAATCCGGCACGGCAAAGCTCGCCCCCCCGGGGCGGAGAGGCGGAAACTGGCGCTCCCCGGGGCCGCGGCGCGGAAGGGCGGGCGCCGGGCCGCGCCGCCGCG